GTTCCACGGACCCCAAATCTTAGGTTATCGTGAAGAGTGTAGTGACGTTTGGAGAGGAATGAGCTAATCCAAAAATCCAGATCTCTTGATAATTTGCCCTGTTTCTCCCTTCCTTCGTTCTTGCTAAAGTTAAAACCGAGAACAGCTGCTTTCTCCAGACAGAGGGGGGAAAAGGGGGGGTTGAGAAGCATGACTTCTCATCCCACGGTTAAGGAACGGTGTGTACCTTAATAACAATTAGCTCAGCAGCAGCCGCAAAGAGAAGCTCGTAACGGCTTTAAGGCAGATGGTGAAAATTAAAAACCCACAGAACAAACACAAGCGGTGCCCCTGGACGGCCCACGCCAGCCGCCCTGCAAACTCATCCAGGCTAAGAATTTGCCATGGGGGGCTTTGCGCCGCCCGGAAAACAAACCCAGCTTTGTCTGCAAAGGAGAAGAAGCGGGAAGAAGCCAGCGACACATCTTCGTTTTTGAAAAATCGGAAGAGGGGGAAACCAAAGGATGCATCGGGGACAGCTCTGGGTTCAGCATCTGTAGCCCCATCAAAATTTAAACCCACGGCTCTGCAGCAGGGTGGCGTGGGTTTGCTTGGAAAAACAGCAGGAGCACGCACATAACATGTATCCAGGGATTTTGCGCCACCCTTAAGCTTTTTTTCTGGGCCACATATCACTCCCTCAGGCGCGTCTGAAAAGGTAGATGTCCACCTACAAAACTTGGCAGGTTTCCTCGCTCGACATGGCTACCCACCTTAGAAAAGCTACGGAGCTGGGAAAGAACTTGTCTCCTGTAGTTCCACCGGCCCAAGTGATCGAAGCATAAGAAGGCAGAGCCAGACTCAGGCTTTAAAGAGAGAAAGGCTGGACGCTCCCCTGTCAGAGGTGAAGTGTGTGGCTTTTCTACAAGGGTGGACCTTTTGGGTCCTTTCTCCCAATTCTATAAAATTCCAGGAGCGGGAAATCTTTATGAGACATGATCCCCACTACCCTACTTGAGGGACAAGAACTCTGTGTATGCACAGGAACACATTCTCCTTACCATCCTGGCATCAAAATCAAGATTTCGTCCCGGCTTCCAGGCAGGCCTTCACCCTCCATTCAAATTATGCAAGTTTTTTAATTCTTCAATCTTTCAAAAGCCTTCTGCAGTGTTAATCCCAAAGTCTTACATCTTGAGAGTCCTGGAAATATCCTGCGCTATTCCTTCATTATAATGCACATAAATTAAATAGAAAAATAACGGAAGGGGGGGGGAGAAATGCTTCTTGCAGTGAAAGCTGGTGCAGCCAGTAAGAAGGTCAAGCTAAGACAGCGGGCAGGACTTCTCGTCCATGCAGGAAAGGATGAAGAGAGAAGCCAAGAGGAGAACCGGCCAGTAGGGTATCTTTCCTACTGGCCAGAAAGCAGGAACAGTGCCTCTGTGCATGCACAGAGTGCCTTTCTCAGAGACACTCTTTCCAGCTTCCCCGTCGACAGCCAAGCAAAATTGCATGGTCTGGATGTGGTCAGACTGCAACTCCCATGATGCCTTGCGGCTCGCTTTGATGTTTGGGGATGATGGGAGCTGTAGTGGGAGGCGGCACCGCTTACCACTCTTTGTGCAAACATCTGGGGAGGGGGGGAAGGGATGAGAAAACCGATTGCAAAGCCAGAGGCCAAACTGGGGACTCAACACACCCATTGTCTTGCCTAAGCTCTGGATTTTGGGGTGGGTGAGAGCAGTCCCTAGTGGTTGGAACCAAAGGCATAAAGAGGGTGGAGAACTAAAATAGCGCCATAGTGTAAGTTTCAGACCAGTTGCAAGACCAGGAGATGGCAGATTTCCAGAGGAGGGCGGGCGGGAGAGTCCAGCAACTTTGCAGAATTAACCCCAGCAAACGTGTGGCCGAGTGTGGGGGGCCAAAACAGAGAGAAATCTAGGGTGGGGGAGAACGGGGTGACCCACATCCACCCTTTCCTGCAGCTCTGTCTCTCTGTTTTTATCTCTCCCTCTCCTTCCCTTCTGGAGCTCAGCAAAGCCTGAGAAGCAGAAATAAGAGTCTCAGAGGCATTCAAAGAGACGGACCTGACCCACATAAAGATCAGCGCGGGGAGGGGCCGACACAGAGCGCCACGATGCGTGCAAGACACCGGTCCAAGCTGTGGCCCTCGCTCACGAACCGAGCCACAGCTGGAGAAGGAGGTTTGGCAGAGAAGGGGGGGGTCAAACGCTTTGGCAGGTGGAGAGGGTGGCGCAGGAGAGTGGGTGTCAGGCCAAAGAGCCGGGGAACTCATCCCGCGCCACGGAGGATCGTGGGGAGAACTGGGAAGCTGCCTTGCCCCTCTCTGGTCGGCCCCCCTCCCCAAAATTCCCAATGCATCCGTGTCCTAACTTTGCCCCTCGAAACACTGGGCTCTCTTGTGCCTTAAGCAGATGGGGATCTGCACCTTTTAGAGAACCTCCTTATAACAATCTTTTTTAAAAAAACTAATTTGGGGGGGTCATTGCTTGGTTGGGGGGAGATGTCCGGCCCTCCAGCTGTAAATGGACCACCAGTCCTTCCAGCCCTGCGGATGCCGGCTGAGTCTCTGCAGGAGACCGGCCCACAACCTCTGGAATACAGATGTGAACGAATAATCACCATTTCCATCGCCCTTGGGATGAACGGATGGCTCAGCCCATCAAGACAGACTGTAAAGATAGCTAGACCATTTTTTTGCAAAATCGTTTTTCCTGGAGAAATTACAAATTTATGGGTGTGTGCCGGTGTGCACGCACAAAAAAACACTTCCATGAATTTTTCACTAAAACACACACCAGCAGCCCTGGAATAGGAAACAGAGGCCAAAACTCATGCAGTTTTACCCAGCAGAGAGAAAACCTTTAATTTCATTTCATTGTCACCCCGGGAATCAATGTACGATTCACATCTCTGATCTGGAGGGAGCCAGTCGGCCCTTCTCGGCCTAAATCTTTTTTTTTTTTGCCCCCCCCCAAACCCCTCTGCAAATCTGAAGTTTTTGAGCACTGATATCGGGGACCAGCGTTCTCATTTATTTTAATATCCATTTTAATGTGGAAAGTTTAGTTATTTGTTATAGCCTCACTCTTAAACCGTGAATTGGAAATTTTGCTATTTTTCTAAGAAAGGGTTAGATGCATCATCACCAGCAGCTGCTCGGTTTTTATCCCAGCAAAGTCCTTTTATCCCCCAGACATCTGTGTGGCTCACAAGGAGTACACCTTGTCGGCTTCCCACTTTTTCCTGGGTGCCCAGATCTGTTCAGGAGATCTCAAGGCCCTGTGTTATGAAAGCACAGGCCCTTGAGTTTCAAAATTGGCTGTCAGTAGGACTCTCAGTAGGACGCAATCACAAAATCCAGTGGCAATGAGTTCCGCCACCCGGTGGTTCCCCGATCGTAAACCCGGTCCAGCAAAAACAGGATCCAAATCTTTTCTCAGCCTCCACCCAGCCTTCTAAGTTATGACGCACACTGTCGGAGCATAACGATGAAGGTATTAAGACTTTGGAAAGGGAGGCAACCAGCATCACAAGGTTCCAGATGCAACAAGGCTCCGGGAGGCTAGCGAAAGGTCTCCGGGCAGCTTTACCTGCTCGTGGGAAATGAGAATTCAGCCTCTCTGCTCACCCACCCACGTCATTAAATTAACTGAAAACTGTCCTTGTTAAAGAGCTGTGCTGGATACTCTGGAATTGATAAATATCCTTCTTTAAAAATGAGGCAGACTTGGCAGCTACACAAGGAACCGCCGCAGAGAGCTTCCATCTCCTCCATATTCATCTAAAACTTCCTTGGAGGCTTGCACATTAGATGTAAGACCTCCACACAGGATTTTCATGAGCATAATGGGGAAAGGGGGGGGAGATACAGGAAAATCCGTAGGCGGAATTCCAAACCAGCCAACACAGCCTTAGTATCATGGGGCCAGCAGTTCCACCGGCTAAAAACCTCCACTGCCTCTTATGAAGCAAGGGCCTTCATTTTGAACCTGTTGCCCATTGGGCACCTGCTCGGAAAGTAGAAATCAGATGTACTCTCTCTCTCTCTCTCTCTCTCTCTGTGTGTATGTGTGTGTCCGTCCGGCCCCTGGACAGGGCAGCCACCTGCTCCAACCAATCTGGCACAGATGGATTTTCTTTTTCCAAAAACCCCTCTCTGCGGATCTTGCACTCGGAAGCCAGCTGGAATGCATAAATCTAACCAGATCTGGGGGTGGGAAAGTGTTCGGCTGACGTAGGAGGGAGCTTTGGAGTGGCAAGCTGCTTCCCCCCCCCTTTTTTTTTAATATTTCACCCACGAACAACACAACAGACACCGACACCCACAACAATAACAACTCGCCGCCGGAAAGGGAGGCGGCATCTTCCCTCATCCACCCCCCCCAAATCGAGAGAAAGCCTTTCTCGAATTCCTTCAGCACCACTTCCCACTTATCTAAATTTTTTTTAAGGGGGGGTCTTTAATTGCACAAAAACTGCTGAAAGATTTAGACACATCTTCCTTGCAACCTATGGACCATTTAATGCAGGGGGGGGGGAAGAGTTTCATCTTTACATCAATTACTGCTGGGTAATTGGAGGGGGCGATCACCTCTAATTTGCCCCCCCTTGTATAAAAGGGAGGGGGCTTTCCTCTCCCTCCCCCCGCCCTTTTGAAAGAGAGGACCCCCAGCAAATCTGAGCTGCTCACCTAGCATCTTCTACTGGGAGATGTTGCATTAGGGGTGGGAGGGAAAGGAAAGGATCCAGATCAAAGGAATAGGGCCCGATCCCGGCTCCAGCCCCCACCAAAAAGATAGCCCCCCACCTGGCCCTCCTCTCCCCTTTGGCAAGACTCAGAACAACCCTTGTTCAAATCATCCAAGCCAGATTCTGCAATCGCTCCGTTATTTTCTGCATCTGAAAAAATCAGAAATCCCATTTTCCACGGGGGTTGGGGGCAACACAGACCCAGATCTCCTCCCCCCCCCAATCATCCTTCCCATAAAGGCACTAACCGGGCTCCGTCGCTTGAGGGTGACGTTTTTCCAGAGGAGAAGGTAGAGCTGGTGCAAAAAACCCATCTTGAAACCCATCTTTTTTGCCGGATCCGGCGATGCATCAGCGGCAAAGCATCTGGAGGGGGGAGGATGTTGGCTGGGGGGGGGAGAAGGAGAAGCTATGGGCAGAGGGGAGGAGGAGCTCGGCCTAGAGCGAGCTGGCTTCCTGCATCTCCCTCCAGCCCCCACCCGGGGCCAAAAGCCGGTCTCCGCTCCAAATCCTCGCCCCGGCTGGCTCGCACCCTTTGCGGCGAGAAAAGCAGGCGGGCGGGCAATTAGAGACGCCCCTCCGCGTTGCCGGCGCCCTCGGGCGGGCAGGCAAGGAGGCCGGCTCGGTCCCGATCCGGCGCAAAGCCGGAGCCAAAGGGGCTGGTCTTCCAAAAAGAAAGCCGGGTTGGTCCGCCTTCCCCGGTGCGTAACCGACCCAAGAAGGGGGGTCGGTCTTCCTCCGCCACCGGCTCGACCGGGCGCACCTCTGCCTGCCTGGCGATCCTCCCTCCTTCTCCCGGTACTGCATCGGCTCGTCTCCCAGCGCCAGCCTCCGCTCCGCTCTCCGCCCGCCTCCCTCGCCCAGGCCGGCCCCGGACTCTTAAAGAGGCAGCTGGCTGGGATTTGGGGGGGCTGGGGAGAAGATCGGGGTGCCGGCGCCCCCAGGCGGGCTTCTTCCCCCACCCTCCACCATCATACCCCCCCATATCCGCTTCTCGCCCAGCCCTAGTTCTCCCCCTTGGGCTAAAAGAAGCCACCATCACCACCACCCCAGTCCCCCCTCTCTGGCGATCCCAAGAACCTTCTTTCAGCCTCAAGGCGCTAGTCCGCGTGGATCAACATCGGTTCATCTCATTGATTCGTGGGATTCATTTATATTTGAAATATCTCCTGGCCAGCCTTTCGGAAGATCCCTGGGCCCGCCTCCAAGGTTTGACCAAGGCAATAGGAAACGGGCAATTTAAAACAATTAATTTTTGGATTCCCAAAGCCTTTTTTTTTGTTGGGGGGAAGCACAAGATTGAATGACTTTGCTTGCTCTGTTATATGGGCTGGACCCACCTGTGGTTCTTGAAGCAGCAGCTTTGAGATGTATTTTATTTTTGAAATTACGACACCCCCAATCCCCAACTAGGTGCCTGGGGCAGGATGCTGGGTGTTGTAGTCCCACTTGGTGCCTGGGGCAGGATGCTGGGTTTTATTCTGATTCAAAGTTCCTTTGTAGATGGGGGGTGTTTCACCTAAAAAGTGCCCCTGGCTGGCTTTTTAAAATTTTCTTCCCCACCTGGGAAAAGAAGCAGCTTCACGGAGATACAAAACGGGACAGTCACGTCTGTGATTCCAAACCCCCCAGGGAAGCTGAGAGGCCTGTCAGAATGGCTGGACCAGACCAGAAAAGATCCAGGCTAGGATTCCTATGCACGAAAGGATGATGCCCACCCCCCGGGGGGAAGGGTGACACACACCCCTATGGTGAATGATGGATGGCTTCCAGGACTTCATCATTCGAATGCCAGCGTTCTAGGCCCAGAATGATGCTGATCCCATCATCAGCCTTGTTATCTTATAGAGCAGACCCAAGACTTTAAGGAATTTTCTCCTTGCAACCTTGAAGACTTGTAGGTTTACACCTGTTGGTTTTCCTGGACTATGAGCCACTTTCCTGAAAAGTCCTGTGTAGAGCTTTAACATTCCAGGCTGATCATGCCCAACATACACAGGCTGGCAAGATCAGGGTGAAACTGGAATTAACCATTACATTCTTATAATTGCCACCTCTGTGTGCAGAAACAAGGAATCTACATGCACTTACCGTGGCTTTAAGAAAACCAGCTTCCCCCTCCCTGCTTGAGCAATGCCTGGTCTCAGGGCGCCCCTTGGGGGTAAACTAGGTGAACTACAGGCTCTTGGCAAAAGGAACTTTTTAAGTGGGGGGCTGGAGGAACGAATTTCCCATTGTTGTACAGAGTCTGATGGTTATTAAACTGAGCCCACCTCACCATTTTAAGGGCCACGGGGGGTGGGTGGGGGTGGAATTAGAAATGGCTGCGGTGCCAACCTGCCCCAGGGCCTGGCTAGCTTGAAGGATTCTGGGGTCAGGTGGTTCCAAACAACGGAAAACCTGTTTTATCTAAACTTTTGCCCCCGATGATGATCTAAATAAAGAAATAAAATTATTTTAGCAGTTTTACAGCTCAATTAATCTCCCTTGCCCAAGCCCTCTGAACGGGTAGCCATCATGCCGTCTTGTGGCAAGGAGTTCCGCAGGCAAAACAATTCCCCCCCCCCTCGAAGACAGCATTTTTTAAAATACTGAATCTTCTGAAGAAGCTCCTTCCTGCATCCACAACACACATTGCTTCTAGCAGTGTGGAAGAGGAGAAGTGGGGAGGAAGAAACCACCTCACCTTGACTTCTCTCTCATCTTCAAATTTTAAAAAAAAACCCACAAAAAACAGAAAACCCTCATTTTTAATCTACCACATCTCTTCAGTTGCTTTATTAACACTTGATGGGGCTTTCCAAAACAGGTGCCAACCAGAATAAGAGTTTGGAAGTGTTCTTTTGTTTAATTAAATATTTAATTTAATTATTTTGTGATATCTGGGAAATTTGGCAAATTCTATCGGGGGTGGGAGGAAGGTAAGATTTTTTTTCATCCTAGCTTTGAGCAAAAGTATATATATATAAAAAAGGCGCACTTAAAAAAACCCAACACAGATTTGCAGGAAACAGCTGTATAGCCAGTGTGAAAAAAGCTGGTGATAAAGTTTTGACCAAAGTAGAAGAAGAATTGAAAGAGAGCAACCGCAGATGCTGTTCCATCGTTTGCCGCTCTCCTGCCCCCCAAAATAAAATAAAATAAAATAAAATAAAATAAAAGGACGACAAATCCAGAAATCCTCAGGGGTTAATGCCATCATTTCCAGGAGGAAACAGAAGACCACAAGGTAAGTTTGCTACAAGTTTTTTTTTTAAATGGTTTTTAGAGAATGTTTTCTTTCATAAATATGCCAATAATAATCATTTCAAGCAAAGGAAATGGCATCTTTCCAAAAAAGATCAAGACGTTTTAAAAAAAATTCCAGCTTGTCTTTTAAGCACTGATTAGCCCAAACTGTGAATATGTTTTTGATGTTGCTTGCTGTTTTTAGGATAGTGTTTGATCCTTTTAAATATTTTTATACCTATTAGTTGTCACTTTGAATATTGTCGTTTGTTGAGGTGAGAGACTCCTTTGAGGAGAAAGGCAGGGCAAAAACGTTGTAAATAAAATAAAAGCAACATTTCACTTGCGTGCCTCTGCTAGGTTGGTTTATTAAAAGCCACAAAAGTAATTCTTGCCCAGAATTTTAAGCAGTCTTTGTTTTTTAAGGACCTGCGTATCAAAGACGCTGTCATCATAAGGTTTAACACACTCTGACTTTTTTACCAACCCAGCCCGACCCCTGCCTTTTGATTTCTGTACTTTGATGCCACGTATAAATATTTGCCATGTTATATCTCCTTCTCTTGTGTCTCATGAAGTGGACTTTATATAAATTAGTCTTTATGGTGCCATCCTGTTTTTGTGTTTTTTTTAAACTTTTTTTTCCAGCTATAAAGCAAGATTTGATTCACGGAGGGAGTTTTTCTTTCTTTCTTTCTTTCTTTCTTTCTTTCTTTCTTTCTTTCTTTCTTTCTTTCTTTCTTTCTTTCTTTCTTTCTTTCTTTCTTTCTTTCTTTCTTTCGTGTTATGTATTATGATGTTGTGTTTCTGAAACTTCCATGACTCAAACATTGTGTAAAATTCTGGGCTAGTAGTATTTAAAAAAACAAACAAACCCAGAAACACAAAACTCAACAATCTAGTGCAGACATGGAAATGAAATACTTATTTTATGTATTATTTATTTCTGCTGCAGCAGGAATATTCCAGTCAATCCCTTCCCCTACTTTTCTCTCCTTATGAGCTCAACATTTCCCCCATTTTTCTCACCCAAATAATTTTCGAACGGCTGAACTGGAAGGGGGACCCTAAAAGATCACTGAGTCCAGCCCTTTGAATGGGGCACCGGTGGGAATCGAACTCCCAACCAGATGCCTAAACCACTGAGCTATCCAGCATTTTGCATACACACACCCTGTTCTCTGATTCATCTCTTGTTACCAACCAGACCTGGAGAAGCAGCAATGTTTTTCCCCATGTTCCCCTACTCCCCTTATTTTTACTCCTACGTCTATAGCAAAACTTCTTGATCTCACCACCGACATGCCTTAAACGGTGCAAGCAAAGACAGAGCGATTGTTGGTTCCTTTACGTTTTTATTTACGTATTCTACTCTGTTTTATAGATTTTGTTGAGTTGGGTTTCCTTGATGTTTTAATAGTGCCGTGCTGTTGTTTTGAATGCACAATGAGCTCGTTTTTATTCCTCTGTATTCCATTAAGCAAACGTGCAATTCACCTTTTTTTCTTTAAAAAAAAAGTGAGCTGCATGTCCAAACCCTGGCTCCCTAAAAAACGGGGGGGGGGGGCAGTTTCGACTTCTCACTTTTTCTGCCTGGGCCTTGCCTGCCTTTCATCAGCATCCCCTCAGGCCGGCTAGTCTTTGCAAAATCCATGTAGGTTGCCAGAAGCCCTGGGCATAAGTCTGACCTTTCCAGAGAAACCTTGAATTTCCTTATGACGTTCAAACCGAGAACTGATCAAGAACGAATCTGCAAGAGTAGGACTGGAGGCATAAATGGGGCAGGGTAGGCTGTCCAGAGGGGGCTTTGACCCAAGAGTTTTGTGAAGGTGCAAATATTCGCTCCTCAGAGGCTAAAACCCTCACCCACCCAGAGCCAGCCTCCAGCCGATCCTCTCCGGGCAGTGTTTTGACATAAAAATTTTTTAGAGAAGTGAGTGACTGGAAGTAACACTGCAACAGATGGCTTTTTATTTTCGCTCATCTCGAGATTTGCTTCACGATGCCCCCGTTTGCTTTGCAAAAATAAGTTTGCGTCGGTCTTTTGCTTAAACACGACGGGATTGCTTTTGCTTTGCCCATCGGTGAACAAAGAGACAGCTCTCCGCTGCCAGAAGGCGACCCCTAAATGCTTGCATGGAACAAAACAAAAAAATGCATATATGAAATGGGATGCCCTCGGCGGTTGCATTTCATGCCTCTGACGAAATAGATGTCCAGCCGCCCAAGGGAGCACTGCAATACATGCGTGAGGCCTCGTGTCTGTTGCAAGAGGCAGATGTGGGTTCATTGCTCATTCTTTGCAAAAGAGCCTCTTTGCATCCTTGAGCCCAGGGTGGCTTCCCGGCTGGCTGAAGGATTCTGGGGGTTGTAGTTTAGAAACAAAAAAGGAGAAGGAATCCAGTTTTGCCTCATCGAAGTTCTCAGAGCAACCCAAACCTGACAAAACCCCATCGCCTTGCGCAATGCTGGTTCCCCACTTCCGAGGTGGAGGCTCACTGTCTTCTCTCTTGCTTCTCTCTTCCTACAGCTGCTCCGAGAGAGAAACGAAGCCTGGGTCCCGAATTCGAATTAGCTGATCTTGCTGGGGACGGAGCGAGAAGCGGCCCGCTCTCTGGAGGATGGTTGCCAGCCCGGTGAAGAGGTTTGTGGGCACGGCGGTTCTCTTTGCTGTGCTCTGGAACGTGGTTTTCCTCGGTCAGTGGCTGGACAGCGTTGGGCGACCCCGGGAGCCGCCCCTGACGGTCTTGATTTGGGACTGGCCCCAAGGGCGGCCTTTGAACCTCACCGGCGACCTCTGCGCCACAAGGTACCAGATTGAGGGCTGCCACTTGACCGGAGACCGCCGCTTGTACGGAGACGCGGACGTGGTGGCGTTCCATCACCGGGAGCTTCAGAAGGACAGGGCCCGTCTGCCAAGGGCAAAGGGCAATCCCGGGCAGAAGTGGGTGTGGGTCTCCCTGGAGTCCCCCAGCCACTCCGACGCTTTAAGCGGCTGGAACGGGACAGGATGGGACTGGGTCATGACCTACAGGCGCGACTCTGACATCTTCGTCCCTTATGGCGAACTCATCCCTCGCGCGCCGGACGACGAGGTGGACATCCCGGAGAAGACCGGCTTGGTGGCCTGGGTCATCAGCAACTTCCACCGCCACCAGGAGAGAGCGCAGCTGGCCCTGAATCTCTCCCAGCACCTCCAGATCGACGTGTACGGTAAGGCGAGCAAGAAACCGCTCTGCCCGGGCTGCCTGTTGCCGACCATCGCCCGGTACAAGTTCTACCTCGCCTTCGAGAACTCCATCCACCGGGACTACATCACCGAGAAGCTTTGGCGCAACAGCCTCCTCGCGGGGGCCGTGCCCGTCGTCCTGGGGCCGCCCCGGGCCAACTACGAGGAATTCATCCCGGCCGAGACCTTCATCCACGTCCGAGATTTTGGATCCGTGGAGGACCTGGCCGGCTTCCTGGCCCACATGAACGAGAGCCACTACCGGCGTTACTTCGCGTGGAAGCGGCGCTATCGCGTTAAGCTGTACGATGACTGGCGGGAGCGTTTCTGCACCATCTGCCGGCGGTACCCCCATCTGCCCCAAGGAAAAGTTTATCCTGATTTGAAGAGCTGGTTCTGGGATTAGGTGTCCAGGTGGGCTGGGAGACTAACCAGAAGCAAGAGAGCGGTTCTACGCCTTTCAATTCAATGGTGAGCCCCAAATATGCGCCAGCGAGGGGGGGGGACCCACCTTTGCTCCCCAAGCAGCCCAAAATAAATCCCCTGATTTATTTTGCAACCGGCCCCACTGTGGGTTATAATCTACCACGTCACCTCCCTCTCCCTTCCTCCTCCTCTCTTGGGCAGGAAAAAGGCCCCTTCCTTCTTCTCCACCACCTCCTCCTCTGATGATGATGATGCCCGAGGCAAACCACTTCCTTTGGGGTTCTCGTCAGCGCTGCCACCTCTCCGGAGGCCTGCGCTCGAGGTGGGTCTTCGGGAAAGCCCAGAGGGGGTTCCAGAAATGACGCTTGCTTTCCAAAGTTGTTCCTGGCAGCATTAATTTTTTTAGAGCTTATCTATTCGCCAATCTCAATTTTAAACCCTCTTCTCCTACCATCTAGGATCATGGGGGAAGGCATAGGACAGATGGAGACACAAACACACAGACACCCCTTCCCATCTCTGCTTGCAATCACCTCTCTCGAACCCACAACATCTGTCGAATGTCAACCAGCCTCCAGATTCCAAACTGGACTCAGGCCACGAGGTGCAAATTCATCCCCTCCCCGTCCGCGGCAGGGGCACCGTGCCATTTGGGAGCGCGCACACACGGCTGCATCTCAGTGGGTGACGCAGCCCCTGCGCATACCTGTCTTAGGCTCCCTTTTCTGTGGCAAGGAGCGTCGGGAGGCGGCATGCGCACACGCACCCCGAGGCCTGTGGGTTGGTGCCCCTTTTCCGGCAGCAAACGTTGGCACCGTCTTAATTTCAGCCCCCAGGGCCAACGCTGCCTTGCCCAGAACCTGCCCCAAAGAGCTTACAGTTGCAAAGGCGGGCAAGCATGGGTCGGAAGGCGATGCCAGGGCCCGGCTAGCTCAGAGGTGAGATTAAGCGTGGATGGAGGCTCACGGGCTCAGCCGGAAGCCAAGATGCTCCAGATAAAGCTAATCAGAGCAATAAATCTGCCCCTCGTTGCTGCCAGGTGGGGGGGGGGAGGGAGAGGAAGCCAGCCTGCTCTGCCAGCCTGGCATCAGGGCCCCCCCATTGCCCTTCCTGTTTATGCAACAGAAGCTTTCAGGGCTGTGAAGATGTGGGCCGGAAAGGGAGGACCCCCCCACACATGCACTCTCTCTCTTACACACTTTTAAAAATTTAAAATTCCCAGAGAGTGGCTCTAATCTTCATTTAGATCCAAAGTGTTTTTGTAAAAAGCCACCCCGACGCTCGGTGGTCCACCTACAGTCCACCTGCTTTTGCGGAGGAGAGCAGGACCTCTCTGAGGTCCCACAGCACCATGGGTTTTGTAGTCAGTTCAAGCCTTTTGGTGCTAATTGTGTTTGTAAAGCCCGCCTCTCCATCAGATCTAGGAGTCCTTTCAGAGGCTGGTTCCCATCAGGCCCCCCCAGGCTGGCCAGTCACGAGGGATGATGGGACTTGTGGCTCAACAACATGCAGAAAGCCAATTCACTGCTCGCTCCTGGTCTACATAGACAGTGCTAAATAAATGATTACAGTGGCAAGTGAACTGATCAATGGGACACGCACAATTGACCAACGCACCAGCCTACACTGCTGGGCTGTTGTCGACATTGCTGGACTCACAAATGTGCTCTTCGAATACTTGAAATGCATCCATGCAAATACTGACAGGAGCAAGTTGTAGCCTAGTGGTTAGCGCCACAGGCTGGAACACGGAAGAGGCAGATCCGTCCACCACCTGTCCCAGAAGTAACCTTGAGCCGGTCGCTCTCTTCTTCTTCTTCTTGGCCTGGCCTACCTCGCAGGGTTGTCGTGAGGAGGAGCATCAACGTTACCCCACCTCGAGCATGCTGGAGGGAAGCTGGGATGGATAAAAGGAGTCATGAATAAATCACGACGCATGAAGGCACCAGGTTGGCTCGTTCAGAATCTCCCTCGCCCTGAAACCTCATCATATCGAGAAATCTCAGCACATCTGGCTTGTCAGGAACGGAAAGTAAGAAATGAATCATCCCCAGAAATGTTTGCTCCAGACCCTGAATGCCAAAAAAAAAAAAAAAAAACCGCTACCCATCTGCGAGAAAAACACGGTGCCCTCGGGCTGGTTCTGATAGAGCCGCAGATAATGACTGAGCGTTGGAAGAATTGAGGATTTCTCTCTCTCGGGGTGGGGTGGGGAGCATGAGAATTAAACCGGCAAAAAATAATGGGGCTCAGGAACACACCCACCCCAGCGGTCTGAATTCTCCCCTTGATTCCCCACCTTTTACAGTGGTGTCTCGCTAGACAGTTACCCCGCATGACAGTTTTTTCGCTAGACATTGACTTTTTGCAATCGCTATAGCGATTCGCAAAACAGTGATTCCTATGGGGAAATTTCTCTGGACAATATTTGGTCCCTGCTTCGCAAACTGATTTTCGCTAGACGACGGTTTTGACAGCTCCCTCCGTCCTCGCAAAACAGGGGTTTTTTGGACCTAAGCTTCGCAAGACAGCAATTTAAACAGCTGATCGGCAGTTCACAAAGCGGCTTTCCTATGGCCGATCTTCGCTAGACAACGACGATTCTTCCCCATTGGAATGCATTAAACAGGTTTCAATGCATTCCAATGGGGAAATCTTTTTCGCTAGACAATGATTTCGCTAAACAGCGATTTCAGTGGAACGGATTATCGTCTAGCGAGGCACCACTGTATATCGCTCCCAAATTCCACCCACAAATATTTCAAAGGGAGATTTCCTACTTCCAGGTATTTTGCAATGAGCTGAACCTGACCATCAGAGAGGTACTTGTTTTTCCAGCAATCCACCCCCACCCTGACAAGGACAGGTGAACTACAGTACCCATCACCCCCAACCAGCATGTTAAAGCATCATGGGAATCCCGGCGCAAGACCTCTGGCAGGCCCAGTTGCCACGTTCCAGGTTTCAGAGTCTGAAAATGGATCACCCCTTCTCTTTGGGTCTCGTCTACCTTGTGATCTATCACCGTCAGCGCAGGGCACAAGCTAGCAAGCTGCCTTTACAATGGGATCATTTCAGAGAGAGGGGCAAGGAGGGGTGGCTGGATGACCAGCTCTGTAAGTCTATAAATCTTCCATACGGAGGGATAAAAATAAAAAAAAGGAGTCACAAGTCAAGTTTGAAATTTGGTCGTTTAATAAAAGTTTGCTCCTTGTCGAGGAATACTAAAGAGAGTCCATACAAGAATCGTTATGCGGGGCGGGGGGGGAGTGACATGTAGCAGACCGCAACGAAAAGAGAAAAAACAAATAAGGAATTGTAGACCTACAGAGTTCTCCATGGGCTCATCCCACCCCCCAAACAAATTTTGGGGTAAGGGGTTTTGTGACTGGCAGCCAGGAAATGGGGGGGGGGAGGAAATAACGGCTCTACCAAGATTTGAGAGATTCGGGTCGGTCCGAAGAGGCTCAAAGTTCAAACAGTAAAATACCCACTCAAGTATCCACGGTCGGGAGAACCGATTCGTTTACTCATGCCCACCCGGCTTGGATTTTTTAAAAAAATGTGGGCTCCCACCTGCAGGATCTGGGTTCGAGTTCCGCAGACTCCTGACACTGGGGGGGCGGGGTGAATTCTTATTTGGAAACAGGGGTCCAACCTTGCAGGTCTGTTGTGAAACACTCAAAAGAGCAGTTTCCAAAACCGGAAGGAAAAGTGGTCGGGGACCAAAAAAATAAATCCTATGGGAGAAAAAAAGAATTGTCAAATGGACCATCTCTGATTTTTTTTTAATGTATTGTGCCTCATAAGTACACCTTGGGGTCAGGGTTACCCCCTGCCTGGACACTGTATTGTAGTTTTTAAGCTCTGATCTACTTTGATCTTGGAAATATTGTTGGCAGAGGGGCGGGCGGGCTATATTTTTAAGAATTCCAAAGCTGTTGCAGGGATTCCGGGATCTC